TGGAGGAGAGTTGGAGTGGAAGAGAAAGAAGGATGTGAGACTGGATGCAGGAGTCTGTGAAGGGGCCCAGATGGGAGAGTTGCTCACCTGCACGCAGAGGATCTTGGAAGGCTGAAAGCTTGGACCTTCACCAGCCCCTTAGATCAGCCGTCAGTACATCAGGATTTATCAATTTTTAGATACTGTATATACCATAGTCTGTGGAGTCCATAGCTTTCCTACCAACAAAATAAAAAAACACTGAATTGGGCTATTTTCAGCAAAGACATGTAGCAGAATATATTTTGGCCTACATTTTTGTAGAAAGATTATTTATTTGCAAAATGTTATAACAGAAACAAAGAAAAATGCATTTTTTTTTCAAAATTATCAGCCTTTTTTCGTTTATAGCTCACAAAATAAAAAACCCAGTGATGATTAAATTCCACCAAAAGAAATCTCTATTTATGTGAAAAACATGATCAAAATGTCATGTGGGTACAATGTTGCATGACCGCACAATTGTCATTTAAAGTACAGCAGTGCTGAAAGGTGAAAATTGGCCTGGGCAGGAATTGAGTAAAAGTTGTTAACATATTTAAGCTTACTGCATATGAGTTTATAGCCATTTGATTTACACTTTAGGCTAACCTTTTTCAAAAGGATAATCAGAACACATTGACTAATGGTCCATTCATATTTGTGTGTTATGGTAACACAATATTTAGCAATGCACCTGTTCTATGTATGGTGTGTTGCAATGACATCTATTGCCAGTGGCACACCAATGCATAGTACAGGCCAGCCCAATGCACAAGACGCCACAGTGCATCACAACACATACACCATGTTTTATTGCTCTCTGGCATGCACTGTACATTCATTTGCTGTGATGTTTTGACAACCAATTCATAATGAATAGGCTGCCTTAATGCAACGCATGTTAATGCATGCCATAATGTACATTGCTGTCTGTGCATTAATACTCTGCAACCGAACCCAAAATATAGCTCCACTTTAAATTGTGTCCACACATTATAGGCACCCTCTAAAGGGAATGCTACATTACTGCCATGAGAAGGGTTTTTCTGCTTTTATAAAGAACGTCGACTTGTAACAACCACACATGTTACATTCCATATTTATTACCTGGTATGTGAATAATTGACCGTGACAACAAACAGGGCACCCCAGGATTATCAGCTAGAGTGACAGAGGCTATCATGTATCAAGGTAAAAATACACTACTTACTATGTACATAGCTGCTGGCTTACTAATCAAGGCAGAGCTATGCTGAATGGTGTAGATGGTTTGCATGCTAGCCACATACGTTGGCAGCAAGTAAGGAGGGGTGATGGAACATCTAGAATAGATTAATATAGACAAACACAAATAGCAGTGCTGGTACAGTACACAAGTCTGTGTGAAGATACAACACGGTATTCTGAAGCTGGCCACAGCCACAGCCACAGTGAAATGCTAAGCGCCCAAATCTGGGCATTTTCAGTGGGTTTGGAAACCTTAGATCTGGTTTTCCAGTTAGTGATGAGCAAGTTGTTTTGAAAACCAGGAAAATACACTCACCGGCCTCTTTATTAGGTACACCTTGCTAGTGCCAAGAAAATATCCCCCACACTTATACACCACCACCACCAGCCTGAACCGATGATGCAATGCAGGATGGATCCATGCTTTCATGTTGTTTACGCCAAATTCTGACCCTCCCATCTGAATGTTACAGCAACCAGTCTGCCCATTCTCCTCTGACATCAACAAGGCATTTTCTCCTTTTTGGACCATTCTCTGTAAACTCTAGAGATGTTTGTGCGTGAAAATCCCAGTAGATCAGCAGTTTCTAAAATACTCAGACAAACCCGTCTGGCACCAACAACCATGCCACATTCAAAGTCACTTATATTCCCTTTTTTCCCCATTCTGATGCTCAGTTTGAACTTCAGCAAGTCGTCTTCACCACCTCTAGATGCCTAAATGCATTGAATTGCTGCAATGTGATTGGCTGATTAGCAATTTGTGTTAATAATCAATTTAACAGGTATACGTAATAAAGTGGCCAGTGATTGTATAGGTAGTAGTCTTGTTCTATGTTAATTTAGATATTTTGGAGCTCAAGTGATACATTCTCTCTGCTAATTTAAAGGGACACTAAAGCATGTTTTTTTTGCTAAAATAACAAACATGTCTATACTAACCTGCTCTGTGCAGTGATTTTACACAGAGCAAACCCCAATCCTCTTCTTTTTGGGGGTCCCCTCTGGTGCTTCTGGCTCCTCCTCCTTGAGCAGTGCCCCCAGGGAAAGCCGCTCACCCTGGGGGCAACTCTGCATGCGCGTCCATAAGACACATACAGCCGTGGCTCGGCCCCGCCTCTGCTCTCTCCTCATTGGATCACTGGCTGTGATTGACAGCAGCGAGAGCTAAAGGGGTCCCTTACTGTTTCAGCCAATGAGGAGGAAGAGTTCCAAGACAGCAGAGCCTGTCGAGAACATTGCTGGATCTAAGGGGGCTCAGGTAAGGAATGGGTGGGGGGCTGGGAGACCACTGCACACAGAAGGTTTTTTTCCCTTCATGCATAGAATGCATGAAGTTAAAACCTTGAGCCTTTACAACCACTTTAAGTTATAAAAGATGTAGGCTTTCTGAACCTTCTGTAGGCATTCTGAACCTTTCTCAGGCATTATACATATGTAGGTTTTAGGCTAATATAAAAAGTTTATGATTTTAATTTTCAATATTTCTGCATAAAACAAGATCTGTTTTTTCAAGTCCTAAAACTAGATAAAGAGTTCCCAATTAAACCAAAACATTATACTTGTTCATTTATGTATTGAGGAAAATGATGCAAACGTACATGTTTGTGTATGAAAAACGTACATAATAGGATTCTTAATTCATTTGAAGACAGGCGAACACACTTCCTGGAGTCAAAGAAAGTGACTGTGTTCCTACACAACTACCCAGTTGCTTTCATTAGAAAGCCAAGAATTGGCTAGTGAACTACATTGCTGTCACCAGTGTAAGTTGTACATTGGTGTCAGTAAGTGGGTTAGAGAAGAACTCTGGATAGGCAAAGAATCACCCATTAGTACACTCTGCTGCACAAAACACTAAACAGTTAATGACATTTTGAAAATTCTTACCATTTAGAATAAAAGTTTCATTGAATTTTTATGACCTTATCTCTGTAACTCCAAAGATAACAGCATCTGCTCTGCCAAGGAGGAGGTGTAACAGCAGAGATTACATCATATCCTCTCCTCCCTCTCTGCAGTAACAGGAAACTACAGTTTCCATCACCCACAGGGAATTGTAGTGAATGTAGGCAGGTACACTACTCCTGTACATGTTGAATGTGTCTGAAAGTCTCGGTCCGCCCACCTCTGCAAGTGGGGATCAATTACATCACTGCTTCCTGGAGGAAGAACTACAGAAGGAATGTGCCAAGACCAGCGGCTGGGGGGAATAGGAGGCATAGCTGGCACTGGTCTTACAAACAGAAAACAGTTTGATATGAAAATTAATTTAGGTCAAAATATATTTTGCTACGTATCTGTCAGGGCTCCAGGGTATGACCAGAGGTATGTGACTGACGCAGGGAAACGCAGACTTCAGATATGTTATAAACAATATAATTTATTAAAGACTAACAATACAAACATAAACGCAATGCACCAAACCCCAAGCTAACACAAATACATACAAGGTGAAACAAACCCAAACCTAAACTGATACAGATACACAGGTACATACACATATAGAGCACAACGTGCGTATCAGGCAGGCCGGGTCGATAACTATCGGGCAGGTAGGTACAGGAGGAGCAGGCGGAGAGAATGGTCAGGGTCACAAGCCAGGGATCAGAACAGGAGAAGTCAGCAGAGATCAGGATCAAGCAGGGTCAGCAACAAGACAGGAACAGGAACGCAGGTTTACAAGATACAGGGCCCAGGAAAAACACACACACCAAGGCAAAGACTGCAGGTCTGGCCATCACTTAAATACACCTGCATAAGCAGTTTCAGGTGTTTGGCTGGCTGCAGGGTTGAGTCTCTGATTGCTGGGAGCACCCGCTGGCCAGCCCTGGTACTGCAGCCCACAAGGCAGGTGAGTCCCACCATTACTGGCAAGTCCATTCCTGACAGTATCCCCCCTCAAGGAGCGGCCTCAGGACGCTCCAAACAGTCTTAGCTGGGCAAAATGTTCCACCGCCCGGGTCTGGTAACTGGCGGGATATCAAAGACTGCCACATCGGGCTGGACTCCGAGCAGCGGCACATCGGGCTGGACTCCGGGCAGCGGCACATCGGGCTGGACTCCGGGCAGAGGCACATCGGGCTGGACTCCGGGCAGAGGCACATTGGGCTGGACTCCGGGCAGAGGCACATCGGGCTGGACTCCGGGCAGAGGCACATCGGGCTGGACTCCGGGCAGAGGCACATCGGATCACCAGGCGAAGCAGCAGGCACCGGGCCACCAGGCGGAGCAGCAGGCACCGGGCCACCAGGCGGAGCGGCAGGCACCGGGCCACCAGGCGGAGCAGCAGGCACCGGGCCACCAGGCGGAGCAGCAGGCACCGGGCCACCAGGCGGAGCTGCAGGCACCGGGCCACCAGGCGGGGCGACAGGCATCGGGCCACCAGGCGGGACGACAGGCATCGGGCCACCAGGCAGGGCGACAGGCATCGGGCCCCCAGGCGGGGCGACAGGCATCGGGCCCCCAGGCGGAGCGGCGGGCGCCGGACCCCCAGGCAGAGCGACAGGCCTCGGGCCCCCCCAGGCGGAGCGGCGGGCGCCGGACCCCCAGGCGGAGTGACAGGTCTCGGGCCCCCAGGCGGAGCGGCGGGCGCTGGACCCCCAGGCGGAGCGACAGGTCTCGGGCCCCGAGGCGGAGCGGCGGGCGCCGGACCCCCAGGCGGAGCGACAGGTCTCGGGCCCCCAGGCGGAGCGGCAGGCGCTGGACCCCCAGGCGGAGTGACAGGTCTCGGGCCCCCAGGCGGAGCGACAGGTCTCGGGCCCCGAGGCGGAGCGGCGGGCGCCGGACCCCCCGGCGGAGCGACAGGTCTCGGGCCCCCAGGCGGAGCGGCAGGCGCCGGACCCCCAGGCGGAGCGACAGGTCTCGGGCCCTTAGGCGGAGCGGCGGGCGCCGGACCCCCAGGCGGAGCGACAGGCACCGAGTCACCAGGCACGACAGTGGGCTCCGAGTCAACTGGCATGACCGCTGGCACTGGGTCAGACATTGGATCGTCTGGCTGGACAGCGGGCATCGGGTCACCAGGCATCAGGTCATTTGGCTCGACAGCGGGCACCGCGTCATCTGGCAAGGCAGTGGGCACCAAGTCACCAGGCACGACAGTGGGCTCTGAGTCAATTGGCATGACAGCGGGCACCGGGTCATCAAATACCGGATCGTCTGGCTCGACAGCAGGCACCGGGTCATCTGGCGCTGGATTGTCTGGCTCGACAGCGGGCAGCGGGTCACCAGGCATGACAGCGGGCACTGGGTCATCAGGCATTGGATCGTCTGGCTCGACAGCGGGCATCGGGTCCTTAGGTACCGGATCGTCTGGATCGACAGCGGGTACCGGGTCATCTGGCGTTGGATCTTCTGGCTCGACAGCGGGCATTGGGTCACCAGGCATGACAGCAGGCACTGGGTCATCAGGTACCGGATCGTCTGGATCGACAGCGGGCACCGGGTCATCTGGAGCTGGATCGTCTGGCTTGACAGCGGGCATCGGGTCACCAGGCATGATAGCGGGCACTGGGTCATCAGGCATTGGATCGTCTGGCTGGAGACAGAGAAGAGCTGGAGGATGGAACAGGGGAGGGAACAGTTGCTACAGAGGGCTTCTTTACAGGGTTAAAGGCAGGATAGGTGCAGCGAGTGGGAACAGGGTACTGACATGTGGTAGATAGCAGGGTATACTGGGCTGTAACTGGAGGTGCTGTTGGGAGTGCAGGAATAGAGCTTTGAGGAAATAGATTAGAAGCAGTACTGGGTTTTTGTAAGCTGACTGAGGCTGGGTGCAACAAGTCTGACCATGTCTGCAGTATGGGTTGAACAAAGCTGAGCTTACACAAAGCCTGTCTGACCAAAGACTGCACTGTGTTTATACAATCCCTTAATACCTGTGGTGAACATGCAGCATAATGCTCCAAGAAGCAATCCACATCATCCTCTAATAACCATACCAGGGACTCTACCTGGTCTGCACTAAATGGCGGCAAAAAGTCATTCCTGCTTTCAGGGGCACCAGATGAAGCCAACTCTACACAAACCTGAATCAAAGGTTGCACCTCAGAGAACTCTGTGCCCTGATCTACTAGAACATGAGCGATCCGTATACATTCTAGCAGTTCATCCCGGGTATACTCCCTCAGAGCCTGATAAGCATATTCTCTGTCATCAAAAACCAGCAGAGATAAATACACAACCTCATCAAGATCCATCCTTCCCAGCAACAAGCCAAGATGGCTTCCCTGTGCAGCCACTTCTGGTCAGGATTGGCCTTGGTGTAATGTCAGGGCTCCAGGGTATGACCAGAGGTATGTGACTGACGCAGGGAAACGCAGACTTCAGATATGTTATAAACAATATAATTTATTAAAGACTAACAATACAAACATAAACGCAGTGCACCAAACCCCAAGCTAACACAAATACATACAAGGTGAAACAAACCCAAACCTAAACTGATACAGATACACAGGTACATACACATATAGAGCACAATGTGATCAGGCAGGCCGGGTCGATAACTATCGGGCAGGTAGGTACAGGAGGAGCAGGCGAAGAGATTGGTCAGGGTCACAAGCCAGGGATCAGAACAGGAGAAGTCAGCAGAGATCAGGATCAAGCAGGCTCAGCAACAAGACAGGAACAGGAACAGGAACAGGAACGCAGGTTTATAAGATACAGGGCCCAGGAAAAACACACACACAAGGCAAAGACTGCAGGTCTGGCCATCACTTAAATACACCTGCATAAGCAGTTTCAGGTGTTTGGCTGGCTGCAGGGTTGAGTCTCTGATTGCTGGGAGCACCCGCTGGCCAGCCCTGGTACTGCAGCCCACAAGGCAGGTGAGTCCCACCATTACTGGCAAGTCCATTCCTGACAGTATCTTTGCTCAAAAAATCCCAATACATGTAAATTAATTGGTTTACACGAAAGTTATAGCGTTTACAAATGACAGTATATATACTGGTATTTTTTTTAAATTTTTATTTTTACTTGTAATGGCGGCAATCGGCGACTTATAGCGGGACTGCGGCAGACATTCTGATACTGGGGGGAACTGACTTGCTGTCACTGACATCCCCCGTGACACCAATACAGTGATCAGTGTTAATAAACAGCACTGTATGGAGGTGCAATCATATCTGATGAAACGCATCGGATGAAGCTAGGGCGTATGTCACCACGCCCGCGGCCATCTTTGAAGTGGTACACGTGGTCTTTTACCCTAATACAACGCTGTCACATTATTTATCTATTTATTTTTGGTTATTTTAGTGCTGCACCTCCATACATATATGTTTTTATATTCACAGTATCAGAATATAGTGCTGACAGCTTGTATATTTTATGTTTGATGTAGGGGCGTCCCTAGGCAGGTGCGGGGGGTGCGCGCTGGATCGGATCTGCAGATTGAGCATAATGCATCGGAGTCCAATCCATTATGCTCAATCCGAAGATCCGATCCATTCTGCGGGGATCGTCGGTGGGGGTGTCACCAAGTGTTATCACACCAGGTGACATCAACCCTTGGGACGCCCCTGGTTTGATGTTATATTGACCAGCGCAGATTCTAATACTATTTTTACTAATAAAAAGCAACTGACACTATGTACTAATGGCACTGGGCTGGAAGGGGTTAACATGTGGGGTGATCACAGGGTGTGCTGTTTTACTGGGTGCTATATTAGTGCTTTCAAATGTAAGCACACTGCTTAGCATGACTGTGCTATGCAGAGCCATGCAAAGCAGTGTGTAGGAGCTGACAGAGGAGAGAACTAGGGCACGCTCACGGTTCGCACGTGCCCCCTACCCGGAAATGCAAAATCATATATATATATATATATACATGATTTTGCGTACCCCTGCCGCCCTGTAGCAGTATATCTGCTATAGGGTGGTGGGGAAAATGGTTAATGTTTGTGTTTTGCTTTGTTTTACATTGGTTTTTTATTTTTTATTATAATTTCTGACTGTTATTCCCACATGACTTTTATAACAAAGAGTTTAAAGAAATAATGCAACGCATTTATTTGATTCATATGTTTTGTATTGTTGGTGTTCAAACAATAGTGAGCGCTGCTGTCTTACATTTACAGGTGTATTTGTAGTAAGCACTTTAACACAGTTTTTTACTCTGTAATGCACTATTTACATTTCATTTTTGCCCGGAGTTGGGCTTTAATATTATGCAATAACAAGAACATGCTACCATGATAGTTTTAATAGCAGAACAAAACAAACATATAAAGTGTGTCATTATATTATGTTAATGATTTTATAATGAGCACAGACTAAACAGTGAGCTAGACAAAGGGTTGTTACTTTGGTTTCTGGAAAGTGAAGTCCAAACTGTAACTGTAATAAAGAGTTCCCATTAAAGGGTGTTTGTGATGATGACAGTTAAGTGGATTTTCCAAAACAGTAACATGACTGCCTAGACACTGAACTGAGCCGGGGGAAGTCCATGGAGCAGCTCAGCAGATTGGGGGAGTACAGTACCTGTTGAGATTTTAGCATAATTCCTTCGGCTTCTGTGAGTTATATCCGCAGGGCTTCTTAGCTACATAGTTTTGAAAGACCCATAAACATTTACAGCAGCTTCCCTTTTTAGCTGTCCTAATTCGCTCCTTCTCAGGAAAATGTGTTTGCTGAATTTGTTCCAGCTAAATGTTACTTCACCAAAGAAACAAAACAAACAAAGATGAATGAGCAAAATGAACTAATATCACAAGTTATCAAAACACGATGGCTTAAAATTTATCCAAATCCCAAAACAAGAAAGTTATATTGCAATTTACCAACCATCAGTTGTGGTGGCTGCATTAGTTTTCTTTTTTTTAGACTTTTCTCTCTTTATTTTCACCTAGTGGGCCAGTAACGCTTTTCCTGCCCTAAGGTGACAACACTCACCATATTGCATCTATGGAGGAGCAGCGTTGTCACCCTAAGACAAGACTTAAGATGATCTCCACCTCTTCTACATAATATTGAAGGGCATGGTTCTATAGTTCTCTGATATAGCTGGGAACAATGTAACTGATAATAGAATAGCACAGGATGTTATCCGCTCACAAGATGTTTGGCAGGTATTATTTACACTTATCAATCAGATACATCAAATGCTTTCACTGGTATAAATTTATTTATTTTAGGTACTTATATAGCACTGTCAATTTATGCAGTGCTTTACATATATATTGTACATTCACATCAGTCCCTAACCCTCAAGGGGTGCACAATCTAAGGTCCCTAACTTATATTCATACATACTAGGGCCCATTTGGACAGGAATCAATTAACCTACCAGCATGCCTTTGGAGTGTGGGAAGAAACCCATGCAGGCAAAGGGAGAACATGCAAACTTTAGGTAGGTGGTGCCATGGTTGGGATTTGAACCAATGACCCTAATACTGCCAGGCGCAAATGCTAACCATTTAGCCACTGGGCTCCAAACTTTCTAAACAAAGGGCCAAATTACTGTCCTTACTTTTGTGGGGCCAGACTGTGATTGTCAGCTCATGGGCAGTAATTTTAGCAATAGACTGTAAATCTAAAGTGGTAACCTTTAAAGGCTTTTAAAGCGTCGCAGTTTGAGGCATGACATGTTTGGTATCTATTTACTCGGCGTAACATCATTTTTTATATTTGATTAAAGCGGGGTTATATATTATTTTTTTGCAATAAAATTAAAAAGTGTATATTTCCCAAAAACTGTGTTTAAAAAAACCCTGTGCAAATACATAAAAAAAAAAATGCAAAAACCACTAATTTATTCTCTGGGGCCTTTGCTTTAAAATAATATATAATGTTTGGGAGACATTTTTTAGCAAAAAATACTGATTTTAAAATGTAAACAAAAAGTACTAGAAATGGCCTGGAGCTAAAGTGGATAGTAAAGGAGAAATAATCAGTATATACGTAGAAGATTCAAGGAAAGAGGAGGTGTAGCTGACAGAGAAGAGTATAAAAATAGACAAAAGGAGGCCAAACACGTTATCGGTGCTGCCAAAGCAGATAAAGAAGAGGGAATTGCTAAATCTATTAAGAAAGGAGATACAGTAAAACATTTTTAGGTACATTATTGATAAAAAGAAAAAATACAATGGGATCAATAAAATGAAAACTGGGCACAACAATTATGTTGAGGGAGACCAGGATGTAGCAGACCATTTAAACAATGACTTCTGTTTAGTCTTCTGAGAAATAAATTGTACTAGCA